AAAACACTATTGAATCTACAGCGTCAACAGATAGCAAGCCCAGTGTAGTCCAATTACAGAACAAATTACTCACACGATCAATTGATTTTGAACTGAAACCATACAGTGCAAACCAGTGTAGTATGATTCCTGACCGAACGACTCCAATAAAAAATTTACAATGCAGTTTAGTACAATCTCTAAAAACAAAAGGACTCTAATAAGTCAGGTCTATTTAATGTATCAAACCAACGACACAACTACAGTATACTGATCAGAGTAGTACCTGACTGGTTGCTCATATGACAATGTGCAGTTAAAATACATATGTGTTTACACATAAAATACATTATGTGTATATTCTCATTAGTATTTTATAAATATTAATAAAAAAATAGTTAAACAGTTTGTTTTTAGTATATATACTTAAGAACAATTATTGGACTGCATTTATTCTGCCTCTTAAAAAGATGACAAGAATTGTTTTAAATGAATTATTACTTAAATTATTTAATAATTTGGCTATGAATTTTTTTCTAAAATATTTAATCCTTAAAAATACTTAAAAAGAACTGTTAATTGACCTTTCAGCAATCAGAACATGAACCAGATCCTTTAAATTCTTCTGCCAAATAGGAAATCTGCCCAGGATTCAACAGATCCAGCAGAGCAGGGACCATCACTGATCTGGGAAGTTCAGAACAAGATGTCATTTCTCAAAAATACATTGCAAACATTCCACGTAATTCCCCACAAACTAGCCACTAGCAGTCAGCTGGTCGTATGGCACATGGTTTCTCTATCGTAGAGGTGTTAGATTCTAAACTGTAATTCTAGAAGGAAAAAATGCTTCTTTCCATTCAAGCTTTTAACATGCTAAATTCACACTCCCTGTATAAAAGTGCACTCTATCCATCCAGTAATGTCTTTCATGTAGAGGACACTTCTTTGTGTCAGATCACTGGTATGGCAAAATAGAAAGATATTAAAAGAATCAACCCATGGGAGAAACAACACACAGGAGCAAAAATAAATAAATAAATACATTTTTAAAAAAGAAGAGGGAAAAAACAAAACGACAAAGTCATTTGTGACCTAAACGATCACTTTGGTGTTCAAAATTAAATTGGCAGGAAACTGAAAAATGTTGTATTAGTGCAAACTAAAAAAATATATCTTGTGAATATTTGACGTATAATGTACTACAAAATGCTGTGAGATCTCTGCTAATGTTACACACTCACCTGTATGTTAGTGTTCTTAACACCCACTGAATGTGCAAAATAAACGTGATACACAAGTGAATATCTCCCTCTAATATGTTTTCACTCTTTTCACTATATATTTTCTTGAGATGGTGATTTAAAATCTGTTGAACTAGTTCTGTTGAACTAAAAAGAAGATATTTTGAAGAATGCTGACAACCAAACAGTTGATTGGCCGCATTGAAAAAAAAAAAATACTGGGCCCATCAATTGTCTGGTTACCAACATTCTTCAAAATATCTTCTTTTTAGTTCAACGGAAGGACACTCATACGGATTTGACTTTTAAAGACTCTTAAAGAAAATGAATGGCATTAAAACTAAACCAAAGCAAATATCTGCGGCGTGAGCAGTGATGTCAATTAAAATGAAATTAAATAAAAGGTTTATTTATTTAAGGTTTTTTAATTAAGTTTATTTCATTTCCTCTTGGAATTTTAATAATAGTATCTTCTTTTGCTACAAAACCTTCATGGAAAGTCTGAGAAATTCCCAGGCTGAAATTGTCAATTGATTGTCTACACTTATTAAAAGGTCCAGTTTGAACCTGAATAACTTTTTTAGATGGGAATTGAGACACATGGATATTGAGACAAAGGAGGGGTGATAAAAGTACTTAAAGGTGCTATATGTATTTTTAGCGGCCTCTGTCGGTCACGTAAACCAATTTTTACGAAAGCGCTCGTGCTCTTGCGCGTGCTTGAACACAAGAGTGGCCATGTACCTCATGGTACACGGCCGCACTGAGACTTTCAACACACCGGAGAAAGCATCACACAACCTGCTGGAAACTCATGTAAACTCCCACCTCGACGTTACAATAATAGGCTACTATCAGCTTGACGTTGAACTAATGCTTCATGCTCGCATGATAACGGTACATTGACTGCATTTAACCGTCATGTGGTGTTATCCTTTTTTACAGTCTATGGGTGATATCTAGCATAAGGCATTTGACTATTTGTGTATCTTTCACAATCAGGCAGCAATGTCAACATAGATGAATGTAGAATATGATAACGAAAACGGTTAGTGAACTAGACAGAACAATTTCAGTGTAACAGTAAGATCATCTTCAACTTTGCAATGGCGAACTGACTGCTAAGAGCTTGAGTGATCTTTTTTTCAAAAGAAAACCAAGTTTTTCATTGGTTTGGAAAGCCAGTGTAATATATACTTGGAGCAGGCATGGGGAAATGTATCGGAGTTAAAAGTCACCTTTGTCTTAAATATTGTAGTGGAGTAAGAGTGATAGGAAATGAAAAATAAAACATACTCAACAAGTCAAGTACAGATCCCATATTATATTTACTTCGTTACTGGATATGAGAACACATTAGTCTCCAAAGAGAGCCTTTGTGAAGGATTTCAATAATGACATGGCAATGTGAGATGACCTTAATGTACCTCATCTCCAAAGAAAGATTTTCTTAGAAGAAACCTCAAGCTTTTGGTATAGTCCATTCCTCGTCATTCAATTTCTGAATCAGAACAGGAATGCTGATATAAAGGGGACTGAACACCCATTAAACTTTTGAACTGTGACATTAAAATTATAACTGGCTAGACATATTTGACTAGACTGTATGTACACAGCAGACATATTCTAGTTTAGGAAACCGAATTTCATACATTTATACAACTCTACTTGTCTGTTGATTACAATGATGATTTGCACTGTAACACAAGACTGTCTTTGTCACTGTTAGGTAAACCAATAAACTGGCAAACAACACCATAGAAACATTTTTGACATGCGTGGACTGGCCGCACCCTAAACGAGGGGCATCACATGCACCAACCATGAAAAATTACAAAATCATCCAACAAAACCCTGATTTCAGACACTGCAGACAAGGACTGAGACCTAATAGAAAGGGCAAGCCTAGTGGGTTTGTGAAAAATATCTATAAAAGATATATTTTTATTTCTAAATTGTACTACTACTACATTTTACCATCTCAAAGGAACGCTCAACTATCTTAAAGGTAAGAGAACTGTTTCTGATTTGACAGTTTTTGCTGTCTGCTTGAAAATAACTAAAAGCATGAGAAACGCACAATGTCTAGTCACACAACTGACTTTTAGAAATGGGTTCATTTGTTTAAACATAACGGTTTAAATATAGCAGATGGTAATGTGTATTTTAAAATGGAAAATACCATGCATATTGTATATCATCCATCCATAATGGCCCAAAATAATATATTTATTATTTTTTATAACATAATTTAAGGAACATTTTTTTGTCATAACTATTGCTGATGTTCAAAAAGTATTTGAGAGAAGTTGATTATTTTTGGTTTACTGTAATTGTCAGCAAAGACACGTGTCTAACCAGGGATCAGCTACCCATGCATCATATTTATTAGATAATGAAATGCAAATAAGACTGTTTCAAATTCAAATTCACACAAGCTTTACAATTACGGATTTTATCTAAAAATTATTTTTCAACCTATTTTACTCACTATTTAATCCAGCACAAAAGATCCATTTTATTAAGGCAGATTATAAACATGTTCTTTATTGTGATTTTTGTCATTAATGTAATTTTTAATTCAGATTCGATTTTGTTTTTTTGCAGCTGCAGTGCTGGTTCCACTGGGATCTGTAAGAGTGGCCTCTCTGTGCAGTAAGTGAATCTGATTAGAAACAGGCCTGTGAGAATGCTTTGATCAGATCTGACACAGTTGGATTTTATTCCATGAGATAACATTCTGAAAAAACCCTTTGATCGGTGGATTTCATTTGATCTAAAGATATGTTCGAGATACTTCAAAAACATTTTGATTTAAAAAGCCTGTTTTTGGATGATTCCATTGGTTTTGGTCGGAGGTCAGAATGTGGCAGCGGTGATCAAATGACAGCTTCTAAACCAACCTTCTCACAACATTATTCACCACGGGAAGGTTTTTTGGCCATTATTTAACAGTATTTCACCACAATAATTACTGATGTCACATGACACTGTTTCACTGTTTGAATGCGTCACTTTTGACCTGTGTGGTTAGAAAGCTTAATAAAATTTCCACAGCGAGGTTGTGTCAAACATAGACTAGTATTGTCATGTGACATCATCTGACTTGGCATGGGCAGGTCAAATGAATAAATACAGATCAGTATTGACGTAGTTGAAATTAAATGATGCCGTCAGATGTCAGAAGAATGTGCCTACTGTTTGGTATTAATACGCTGATATTTGAATCTATATTCACCCATCTACTCAACTCAGTAAAAATGAAGAAATTAAATTAATAGAAACTCTAATAAGACCATTGAATGTTTTATGTTCTCTGCTCTGCCTCAACAGTGCAAAGCAGACATGTCCAGAACAAGAAACAGTGAGGTGAGCTTTCTTGCCTTGTCACTCTACACTAGTGATGCATTAAATAGCGTTTAACAGGACGAATCAAGTGTTAAGTGTGTTATATGTACCGGGCTGTGAAGCGTTGTATATGACAAACCTATATCCAGCTTTTATTTGGGCTGAATGTTTTTAATTTTGTATCTTGTATGTGGAATTGGGAAGTTGCAGTGACAGTAACAGGGGCATTAAATACATTTAAGTTTGAATAAGGTAAAGGTGTTTAGGACAGCTATTAAGGAAATGCAATTTTGCAAAAGAAATAACTTTTTCTTAAAAGAAATATTCAATTAAAAGCAGCCTACTTCAGTGTAATATGATGTTAATATGATATGATGACATTACCATAATATGATAATATCATCACTCTTAACACTGAGTATTTGAATAATTGTAATGTGTCGATTGGGTGCTAGTCGAGTGTGGATATCTAAAACAGTGAAAATCATAGGTAAGGGTGGATGATTTATTTTTAGCTGCAGATTCGGGTGACATTAGTAATTAGTAATTCATCACTGCCATGTTCAATAAGACACTGACTTGCCTCTCCAGGGGAATGTGCTGAAGCGTGTGGCAAAACTGCCTCTCATCAGCTCAGTGCTGCAGCAGGCCTCTTCCGTCTACATGGGCGTGAAAGGTCGTTATCCCCTGCTCGGGTTTGTGGGAGGGGTAGCAGAGCTGGGTGTCCGCAGCGCATCCACAGCAGCTCTGGAACAAGCAGCACCTCTGCTACTGAACCTAGAATCAGAAAGTGAGTCCCACATGTTAATATATGGTATCTCTAACACTGAAATGGCATGAATACTTTTTTCAAAATTTTCAAAATCAAAATGCTCATAAGTATAGACATGACTGGACAAAAGAAACAGATGTACTGCTAAAACATAATTTAACATGCAAGTCTAAGAACAATAAAGTGAATTAATTGTATGTGGGCCTTTGCAGTTGAGGCGGTGAACAGTTTTGCACTGGTGGGTTTGGAGCAACTTGAGAAGTTTTTCCCTATCCTCCAACAGCCCACAGATGAGGTGAGTGTGTGAGAGTCCAAGAAAGAAGAGTGTACATTTTGTGTGGCACTTTCCATATCTTGAAAGTTTGGTAAAAGCCGACCAATTTATTTTAAATATCAAAATTAGTTGAGTTTTAAAATATTTAAATTAAAATTATTATAATTATTCCATTATTTTAATATTTTTTGTATTTTTTTTTACTTAAATAAAATAATAAATTAGTAAAAATTAGCTAAATTAAATACTTTTAAATTATGATTATGTTATTTCTTAAAGGGATACTTCACCTCTGGAAAGATGAATGTGTATTTAAAATGGGTCATTTATGTAGAAGAAAAGTGAAATTATTTTTGAATTTGGAGCTTTCTAGACTGAGAAAAGCCAGAAAATGTATTTTTGGCTTACATAAGCCAAAGGGCTGATGGTGATGGTTTATGTTTTACAACAGATTTTTTTGTTTTGTTTGTTTGTTTGTTTTGTTTTTTCAACAAAACATCTGGGCTTGAATTAGACATATGGAGCACATCTTCAAATAAAGTGATTTAAGAAACAGAAGGTTATAGTTGATTATGAGCAGTCAGACTCAGAATATGTCTACTGATATTGAAAGAAAGGGATACAATATGCAGAACTTTATTTGAAACCGTCGCGTGGTATTATAACACATCACATGACAGCATTTGTTTGGGTTTTTTTTAAGATAAAAAAAAACATTTTTGTTATTTATTTGACACGTAAACCAATATGGATAATTAATCACAGTAGGCCTAACGTTAGTTACTTGTTTCATTAATGTTCTGCTGTATGGTTACTAGTTCAGAATGACTTTTCGCGCACTTTAGGTTAACGTTACTGAAAGACCACTTGAAACGGCATAATAAAAGAAAACGATTTAAATGTAGTACATTACTGTGTATAAAATTAACTTCTTACCTACCTTACTAAGATTCAGTAAGACAAAAGTAACTTTAGCTATGTATTTGTGGCTATTTCTGTTTTAATGTGTCTTTGTTTGGCTTCTGTGCTGTCCCGTATCTAACCTGTTATCTCGATGGGGTTTTTTTTTCTGACCCAATACTCTCTTGGTGCTCTCCTGCCTGTCTTCTCTCCTTTTAGGTGGTTGCTAATTTAAAGGACGCTTTCTTCTCGAGGCTGGATGGTGCGCAGTCTCGAGTAAACGATGAGCTAGACAGGGCCGTGAACAGGTGGGATGAAGTGGTAGAGCTCAGCTGGCGTCTCCTGGCGGAAGCTCAGGATTCAGCACCGGGGCGCGTGATCACCGCTGGCCTGGATGAGCTCATCACTCAGTCAGAGGCAGCAGTGGCGTACTATCTACCTCTGCCACCCACGCTGCGTAAGAAAGTGTGATACGGAGTCATCTGAACTGAGACGGGAGACTATTTTATCTGAAATTTTCATGAAATAACATTTTAGAGAAGGTTTACCATTTATTTCATGCGTACACAAAATGTAACCACAAGGGGGCGCAATTAGTCTTATATTTTGTGTTAAAGTACTTTATCACAAGTAAAGAGCCATTAATCTCATCATCAGAATAAAACTGCAATAAAGTCAAATTTTGTAACTTATTTATATTGTTTAGTTATATACATTTTTATATTTAAAAAAAAATACATAATTTTTCCCTGAACCTTTATCATGGACCCCCTCGCATCCCCATTGAGGCACCCTGGCAGTCCCTGGACCACAATTTGAAAACCCTTGCTTTAGCACCATCTTACTTTCAGAGGGATACAGAGAATATACATAATATTTCATCAAATTAGCTTTTTTTTAATTAAGCTCAGAGAGTTCAGTATTAGACTAAGCAGAGCCTTTCAGTTGAAATCTGAATATTGGTGGTTGCATTAAAATCACAAGCACTTTGTCTCATCTTGCAGGTCATGAGTGGGAGAGAAGAGTGCAAAGCTATGAAGATGAGGATGATGATGATGAAGAAGAAGAGCCTCGGATGTGGACGCGGATCCGTAGCCTGTTGTTTTGCCTGTACCTTCAGCTGTACCACAGACTGATGAAACTGAGAGAAAGAGTGGACATTGTTTTGCAGATGCTGGGGACAGCTGCTGAAACGGTAGGCCTGGCCCATGTACAGAAATAATTCATCACTAAATCTTTGACCTTATCTTACCTAAAAGTTCTGTTCAGTGACTCTCACGCCATACTAACTGCTTCTCAGTGGCTCCGAATAACATTCAGGTATCAGTTTCTGAAATATGTCACACTGATAATGGGGAACCCAGCTTGTTGTATTCATATTCCAATTTATCAATATTCGTACTTTAATCTAAATGTTTTCAGTTGGCTATCCAACACAGAAGTATAAAAAAAAGACTTTGGCCCTTCAAAAGAGACCGGGATTATTATAGTTAACTAAAACTAAAACCATAAAACCATTTTTGTTTCTTGAAATAAAATAAACATTAACTGAAATAAAATAAAATGTACAGAAATGTATTTTATTTCAGCCAGTTGCCAAGAAACCATTTAGTTTAACTTGATGTTCTGAAATAACAACTGTAAAACTAACTGAAATAAAGATTAAAAGAAATAAAGAAAATAGAAATGTTGACTTTTTTGAAATGCTTCAACTAAAATTAAAATGAAAACAGAAAAGAAAAACTAATTCAAATTATTAATAAAAAAATTTATAAACTATAATAGCACCTCAATGATACTAAAATAAGACTGAAAGAGACCCAAGATGTGAGTCTCAACAATACACACTGACAGGATGATATCAACAGGGAGTGCCTCATCAAAATGTCCTCAAACTATAGGCTATCCATTCCACTCTTCTTTGAGTATGAAGTTAAAATAGACACGCTACGTGCTGCTTTAACATGCTGCAGTCATTCACGCTGCCCTGCCACCCTCAGGGCTTCCTGTCTAGTCTGCAGACTCACCCTAACTCGCATATAAAATCACAGCAATTACTTGTTCTAAATTATGACCCCTGAGACACATTCAAGCGGGAAAGGACATGGGGAAGGCAGAGAAGCTGTATTACAACATGAGCTGAAACATTGTATATGAGCTTTTTCATACAGTACAACACTGATTACACAGAATTTATTTATGTATTATTTTACATTCATGCTTCTAGTCACTTAGCAGTGGAGTAGATTTATTACCTCAGATTTTGTCGTATAGTCACTCATTTGTACACTTCTTCATTTTAAAGTTAGTGTTTAGGCTTAGATAGAGACTTTATCATCAGACTTCATCATTTTATAGTCCAGTACACTATGGAGTCTTTTAGTGAGTCGTAATGACTATAAAAATAAATGATGGAATGTGTCTGTTTGCATAAAAGGAAGGCAGTTTTGTTGTCCCCCTACAAATCAAGGCTGAAATCAAGAAGTCAAGCAGCAGTGCTTTTGATCGGAGTGCTTGTTTAGAAAAAGGATGGTCATGATTGAGCTGAAAACCCTGTGGGACCTAATGCTACGTGCCGTTTGGCAGTCACTGCATGTGACTTGAACACCCACTAACCCATGAGGAGATTTGGAGATAGGGAACAAATATACTTCTAGTTTTATATGCCTTCAATTGGTCGAAAGTGACAGTAATTTTACTTTACATTGTTCTAAAATTTTCATTTTAAATAAATGCTATATTTTTAAACTTTCTATTCATCAAAGAATTCTGAAAAAAATTATCCACAGTTGCCACAAAAAAATATTAGGCAGCACCACTGTAGAAAACCAGAATCATTTCTGAAGGATCACGTGGGATCACAAGGAAAATATAAAACCGTTTTAAAATATAAAACCGTTATTTAAAATTGTAATAATAATTCACAATATGAAACTTTTTTTTCCTGTATCTTTAATCAAAAGAATAGAACCAGTGCCATTTCTGAAGCATAGAGTGCACCACAGCTCTGCAAAATTGTATTTGTTCTCATGTCTATAGAGACTCCAGAGACACTCTACCTCAACTGACCTGTTAGAGACACATGGCCTATCTCAGACATGTTTTGAATGAGTTGACGAGTTTGTGTACTGAGGATCAAGGGGCCAAGGTGGAGTATTGTCTGCTGCACATGCAGGGTCCTTCTGTGCTTTCCCAGCAGTAGGGTGGTGGGTAATTGGACCTGAGAGCACGAAAGCTCCAGTGCACCGTGTTCAAAAGAGTCTTCATTAACAAACTCTAAAAGACGCCCCAGAGAGCCTGGGCTGCAATAATGTGAGTGACAGACTGTGTTCTACCGGGAGTGATGCTGAGCTGTCAGAGACACATACAACAGTGAGACTTGGCAGCATAATCTCCTACAATAACTCACGTGTTGGTCACGGGCTGTGCAGTGGACCGGCGGTGAGGTGTTGGCCCAAAGACAATGGGAATTGAGAACACAGAGAGGACCTTTAAATTTGCCTGACCCACTTTATCCTTCACCTAAATTAACCACCAATATATGGAGATTCCTGCTGCCAAATCAGTACTGTTTGTGACTGTGTCTGCTGGGCCAGTTCTTTTGCACTCACGTTGGCTGGGGTCAGATGAAGCTCCACGTGAGAGTTTGGCTGCTTGTGGCATGGTGGTCTGTGCTGTGGTAATAAACCAGACTTGAGTACGATTTCCCTGTTCCCTGTGAAATCTTTTTATTATTCAAAACATTTGATTTGTTTACTTGTCACAAGTTTTTACACAAACGCTGCCAGACAAACTAAATTATATTGTAGTGGTTTTAATATTAGTAATTCAAATCTTTTGAATCCATTCGTCAAACGATTTCTGCAAGTTACTTTGTTACACCAGTAGTAGGTAGCAACAAGTGAGTCACTGAATCATTTAAATGATTAATCTGAGTCATATCATCCTTATTAGCATGTCTACAATTCTACTAGATTACATGATGTCAACTACAAGGCTTTTTTCCCCCCTTACATTAATTTAAGTATAGTATATTCATCAATCATTTTTACACATAATTCTTTCTGCCCTACAAATATGATTTGTTCCCTCAAAAGATTCATTCACTTAAAAGATTTGTTCAAAACACTGATTTGTTCACAAACTAAACAGCAATTCTATACTAAAGCATGGTGTCCATGGGAACAGTTAAACAAGGTCAAATGAAACGAGACGAAGAATAAAAAGCAAAAAAAGGACATTTAAAAATAGGACATGATGAAATGAAATGATTTAGGATAACAGGTCTGAAGGAATGTTGGACTGTTGCATCGTTAGTCTGATAAAGTTTAATTAACCCCAACTGTGACAGTCAATACCGGTTTTCACAGCAATTGCAGTTTCTGTTGTTTGTTGATTTATTTGCACAGAGCAGGGAGTGTATCCCGCAAAAGCCCATTCACATTCCTTCAGGCATTATGTTGGTATGTGAATAGAGTCATTACTGCTACTTGATCAAACCATTAGGCCCCGTTTCCAGGCCACTAGGTTTAGCAATAAAAACGTGACTGAATTAAAGTTCTGTGTATTCCTCAGGCCTGCCACATTCGCTTTTAAATATCAGTTTCATGTCTATCATTGTCACTGGTTTCCTAATTATGTATTGTCTGTAATTTGTCATGCTCAGGTGGGTCTTACACAGTTGATGCAGATGTTGGAGTCCCTGCTGCAGCTGCTTCTGTCTTTTTACACGTCTCAGGTGCATCGTGGGGAGGAGCTGCGTTCTCTGCTTGTAGCTCAGCTCACATCAGGTATACAGGCACTGAAAGTTTTGCCCCCTGTACAACAGATACTGGCTTTACCTACTCAGGTACGCACTATCATGAACGACCTACAGGAACTGGGACAGATTCTCATACAGCTGCTCATCAACACCACTCCCCTCTATGACCTGGTGAGAACACACACACACACACACACACACAAATGCAACATTCTGGAACCAGTTCTAATGGGCAAATTCTATTTATAAACCATACAAGTAGATGCTGAACACTCTAGAATCAAGTTATGAAGCTAATTCAAAGTCAGATTAATCAGTCTGAACATCAAATTCGTATTTATTTTTCACCCTAGTGAAAAATAAATGTATAAAAATGTATCTGAAATATGTTTATTTTATAAATACAGGTATTTTAAATAAATTTTGGTATAGGTTTTATTTCAGTGTACTACTGATAGGATAAACAAAGCTAAATATGTCACTCTATGTTCCCATAAAAACTACTGGCCCATGAAACAGTACATGGCCTGGTTTATTTTCTCTCTATGTTACTGTGCTTCTTGTTAAATGTTTTTTTTTAGCACAGTATCCAATTGAAAATCAGGTACATAAGGTTTTCAGGCCATTATACAGCTTAATTAAACTTCAATCACACACGCAGGGGCAGATTATCTAATAAGTTCCTATGTCAAAATATTTGGTCTCTGAAACGAGTCACGATAAAGCAGCTCAAAACGTTAAACGCCATGTTTGTTCAGCAAATGCACTTTTGTTAACACTATCGGGCATGGTTTAGAGGTGGGATGTTATTTCCAGCGAGAGGCACTAAAAGGGCCTTTTTTCCAATAAGCCTTGCCTGATTAAATTGTTGGACAAAGATTTCAAAAGAATCGAAAGTATCAGAGTCTTAGCTTACGACTCTGCCGTCTCTTTTCTCTCAGATGAAACAGGTTTCTGATCTGGATGCAGAAAACAACCCAACTCCAGATGAACTTTCTGAGAGTCCCTCCAGCCGTGCCTTTGCGAACAGCCTCTTCCTCAAAGCCATGGACGGTCGTCCACGTCGCCGCAGAAGCCTTTATGCCCGTTCCCGTGGTGGGTCCAACAGCGGGCTTCCAACAAGCCCGGCTCTCTCTCCGACTCCTACCCCAGTCCCAGCAAATGGCAGAAAAGGCAGTTTGAAGCTAGATTCCCAGCCCTCGGGCCCTCCAGAACTTGACACACTGGCTGTGCCCTCTACCGATATGATCCGCCGCCGTTCCTCTACCACCGAGGTCCTGCTGGCGCCCATTATGCAGTTAGTATCACAGAGCCAACGAGCGTTTGAGTTTCTGAGCTCTGGCCCTTCATCTGAAGATCAGGTCATACCTATGGTGGAAACCACAGAACATTAGGCTCCACTTTTCTCATACATTAAACCAAAATGCAATCATAGATCATTCAAACACAGATTGCTGCAGCCCACAGGCTATTATGGATAATAGAGTAAACATAGCTTCAAACAATCCATACAGTGACTTCTCTAGTAGGCCTATACAAAAACAAAGCTTGTTGGTGGAGACAGTGCAGTTACAAGCTAACTTTTAAATAAAATCATTAGGCCAGCATTCAGTATGTGCTGACAGTTTAAAAGCTAAATAAAGCACACTCTCTTGCTCTCTGCAGTGCCGTTGAATGCCTGATTATAGTAGTTAAGACAAAGGAATAACTCAACAGATTAGTTGAAATGATCATTTTTCTATATATTATAATTGTTAGCATGTAACACAACATTTTGTTTAGACTAAATAAATGCACTTGTATTCCTAAGATTCCTTTTTTTAGTTCTTATACACACTATAAGCAATGTTTAATCTATAGACTGTCTTAGTGAAATGACTGGTAGTTAGATGAATGGAGTGAGTGGAACAGGACGGCACAAGGATTCTAGTCAGTTGGAAATTAACTATTTGGAAATGCATTTGACTCAAAGCCCAAAGTCATGTGTGTTCAATTGAGAGGAGAGGATAAAATGACACGGTTAATGTTACTTTGATTCTTTATGGGTTGTTTTATGTTTTAACATTAAGGATGTGTTGTTAAAGATAAAGTGAACTGTGTTATACATAGACAGGCATGGAATGGTGTTAAATAACTAAGTGGACATTTATAGCTAAAATCCTAACAGCCTTTAGTGCTTTTTTTCTTGTAACAAATACAATAATGACTCTTAATGTAATAAAACATTTTGTAAAATGTTATTGATGTTTCGAGTACTATTTGAGCAGAGAATGAAAGGCTTGTTGTACAACAAAGGTAAATGGTTTTTCCTTTATTGAAATCGAACATTGAAATACAAGCAATATAAACATCTCAAAAAGGTCTTGAACTAAAAACACCATGTACTTTTTATACAAAAATGAAAGATTCAAGTAAATACAGGGCAATTACACACTGTAAAAATTATTGCTGTGATTATTTATCACAACTTAACATTTAACAGTAAAATAAGAAATGAGTCGTTTCAACTTAAATTAGGTGTTCCTGTTACTAAAGTTTAGTTGAATATTTTAAGTTGCTATAACTAATTACAGCAACATTGTTTACAGTGCATGAACAGACACTCTTCATATCTCACTCTTCAGTCTTAGATCGTTCACAACATGAAAAATAATTATAACTATATTGGCGTACACACCAAGGCATGGTAAAGTTCTGCCACTTTAAATGCTCAAGCTCTTCAGATGGATTCTGATTGGCTGTCCATATTTTAAGCGTTTATCAGCAAGAAAAAAACATTCCGAAAATGATTCCGATTATATTGTTTTCGTTATAATTGCGTTTTAGACTTTGCTATTCTCATGGAATTAGAATGATAATTAAAACTTTATAGTTACAACTATTCTATATCCTTGGTGTGAACGTGCCGTACATCGAATAACATTTATAGTCCCACCTACCTCAAAGAAACTACACAGAAAACAATGTTCTGAACATTACAATATATACATAAAATGTATATTATACACATTTTACATAGCCTCCTCAAAATTACCACATTTAATCATTCGCATCTAAATGTCAAGTGGAGATTCAAAAGAGGAAAATACAGAGAGGATAAAGTCCAACTCTATATTTTAGGCATCTAAGATCCAGAGCAGAAGACCATTTGAATTCATCTACATCATCTTTTCAGAGCTGAAGGGTCATCGACTACAATCGATCCGGACTGTCTCTCGGTTCAAATCAATACCCTGCTGTGACCAACTTAAATCAAGGCCCAGGACCACTTTTCATCAGAACTTCTTGTATCATCTTGCTGTTACAAACTTAATCTACCTTTCTTCACCATAAAGCTGGGCTCTAAACTTTTAACATGCCATCATCTCATTCTTTAGCTTTCCACCGTCCATGTAGCCTAAAAGGCGAAAGGGGATCCCCCCTTCGATTCCGAAAACCTATTGGCCGAGGGTCTTCTTAGCTGTTTAGACGCTAGGCTGCCAGAGGCCTCATATCTTCAACATACCCCAACTCAGTTCTTTACTCCCATTTCTTTCCAAACACTGCGGACACACTTCTGACTATGCCCTTGATTCCGGCCATCCCCTTTTTCAGTGCTCTGGACTCCTTAATGAGATCCAGTATTTCATGAAAGACCAGAAGCACGCCGTGGTAGGTTTCAGCTGCGGAGATCTCGAAGAAGCCACAGTCTGCGGAGAGGGCGAAGAGTCTGCCCTCCTCGCTCGACACGGCTCTCTGGTGCAGCAGGTCTCGCTTGTTCCCTACAATGATGATCGGTGCAGATGCGGACAGCTTCCTAGTCTGGCGGATGAGCTGCACCTGTTGCCGGACCACCTCAAAGCTGGAGCGGTCACAGATGCTGTAGACCAGGATCACGCCGTCTGCCCACTGAAGCTGCTTGTCACTGATGGATTCAGTTGTTTCGCAGCTCTGGAGGAGAGAGAATTCAAAGATTAAATCACTTAACCTCACCTAGAAAACATGATCCCAAAAACCTCCATGAATGCATAAAAGTTGTTAAAATGGCCCGAATTGGATTTAAGTTCTTTCATCAGGGATTTTTTTTTTTTTTGGTATTTACAGAACAATTAAATATGACAAAAATGTATAATCATGTTTACTTCCCACAATATATATACAGTAAAAAAAATCCATTGATTATTATACTTTTCCATAATTTTCCAATTCACAGGTACAATTTTAATAGTTGATCAAATGAATTTCAAGCATTTAAGCACCTTAAAAAGTTCATTAGAAATATTCATTTAGTCATAAACTTTACTTGTAGATTATGAATATTTTCATATTTATGATATTTATATATTTTGAATATGATAATTATGATAATAAAGAGCACACCACACAAGTAAACTAAGTAGATAAACTTAACATTTTACAAACATTTTTTTCTAAACACATACCATGAAATTGACAGCCACTATATATATGAAAAACATACTTAAAAACTATAGAAATATAAGATACAGACCTATTAGTCTTACAATCTAAAATTATGCAATATTTTTGACAAATCTATAGTGAGATAAGGATTTATTATTGACTATTGTTGACTTATCCTTTGATAATAACAATTTGACCCCTTAAAGGGATACTTCCCCTTATAGGGATTTTTTTGGAAATGGGCTTATTTTACCAGTATCCCTTTGGAGTATCCCTTTAATGAATTCCCAACACAATTTGACCCCTTTATGTATTGCCAACAATGCATTTTATATTGATTCAAAAGCAAAAAATCTCAAACAAAATATGCAACATACCTGTGGATACAGAGAGTCCCAAATATTTAAGGATATTTCTCGCCCATCTGTTTTATCAATATGATTGTATATTGATTCTGAAAGAGAGCATAGTGAAATTAAAGACTGCTATTTTATAAATAACATAATTTATTTGTTCATTATCAATGGCATTATAATAAATCTTATTTGACGTACCAATATCGCCATATTCTCCGATGAATCTTCTGGTGAGAAATCGCACAGTGAGGGCTGCAAACAAGTTATAATAAATGATTATTCGTAGGCTTAACAAAACAGACCAGACCATATATACATGACAGAAATGTATGTATGCAAGAAAGCCAAGTTCAGTTTTGTGCTCACCTGACTTCCCAACATTTTCTGCTCCAAGGAGCAAAACATTCGCCTCTACTTTGTGATGATTTCCATCCATCGCTTTACTAACGTTACCCAACTGAGGACTCGGTTTGACCAGAACAACCATTTCACCTTTGAATGTCTTGAGTGTTGAGTGTGGGCTTTGCATGCCACTTCAACTATACATACATAAAACAGTGGGTGGGGCTTATGGAAGTTGAGTCGATTTAAACCAATCCGAGAACAGTGCATCTTTTCGCATCAGCAAACCACCAAAGATTGTCATGTAGCGCCAGGATAATTAGATATTTACAACTAGTGTTTACTCTTTCACCCAACTCAAATAATACTGCCCTCGAACATTTCCCTAAAGAGAGCTTCTGCTTGTTTTGTTCGCACTCTCACAGAGCTAAACACAAGATTTGAAACCCCTTTAGGATAAAACTGTTTACTATTATATCACAAACTTTTTTATATTAAATTTGACCGTTTAAACTTTTGTTATTAGATTTTATTTACTTTGAACAAAATTTCAAACTTTTGCCTACTCATGTCCCAGATCTCCTTCCATTATAAAAAAATATTTGATATTTAAAATATGATAATTTAAACAAAGGGTTGAATTTCAATGTGATAATTCAATATGCTCTCTGATCTCACATGCTGATTTTACATTACATTATTGCAGCTGTTGAATTGTTCCGCTGTGTTTGATAGAGGGTTGTTTTGTATCCATGTATGATAATGGCATGCTTCCTAATTATACCTGGGTTTTATTTCTGTTTTTCAAAAATCGTAGTAATTTTTAGAAAATAAAGCCACTTCAATCGACCCTGTATCTGCAATCGACCGAGGAAAGGGTCCTCGCGCCCTCTGCTGGCATCACAGCTGCGTAACAACATTGAACTATAATGTTTATAATAGCAACCCCCCATAAGCAGTGAAAGAATGTGGCCTTAAATTAAATTAAAAAAAATCTGTTTGATAGACATTTTACTTCAAGGCAAAGGTAAATAAACAAACTACAGTACTACAATAAATAGAGAGTTATATAAATGTGTGGTTTCAAAAGCAATGACGTGGACACTTCAATGTTCACCAGCTGTAGTGTTCCCACAGCCATCTCTCTCCTTGCCTTTATCAGCGCAGGATTTCTTTGGTGTTATACCACAGTTTTCCATGAAAAACTCCCGCATGCGTTTCAAAGTGTTTCTGTGCTTCTCTTTTTGAGTCTCTGTCTCTGAAGAACTTCTTGGATCCTCACTGCTTGAGTATTTCAGGAGAGAAGCATGAAGGCTCTTCCCAAAAGTTTCATTCAGCCGTTGCTGGAAAGATTCTTGAAGTTTGACGATCATGTTTTTCCTCTGTATAAATAACCAAAATAGCACATCACTATTTTATAACAATCAATTCAATGATTAAAAGGTATACATCAGTATTTCAGCTAAAGTTTTAAACTATAGAGAAGAAGCTTGCCAGTTAAATTACACATGAATGTGATAAGATGAATGGCAGCGGTTTACCTCTGATTTCATCATCAAGATGTCAAAAAGAGTCCAAATATCTGACACCAGTTCAGCAGCAGTCCGATAAGGAGGCTTCCTTGTCCCCAGGATTCGGCCGAGTATAATATCGAATTCTGCGGTTTTTGAGTGAGTCTTTAAAAACAAAGCACAAAGATTTGCTTTGTCTGTTTGCCCGGATCTATTAATTTATTCAAAAATACATCCAAATACAATTTGCACATACAATGACTCTGTATTACACCTTTATTATGATGAGCACGAAGAAAGAATATATAAATATTAAAGGGTTAGTTCACCCAAAAAAAATGAAAATTCTGTCAGTATTTACTCACCCTCATGTTGTTCCAAACCTCTATTTTGTTTATTTGTTCTGCTGAACACAAAGGAAGATATTTGGAAGAATGTTTTAATCGAACAGATCTCATTCCCATAGTATCCTACTATGGTAGTCCTATTAAAACATTCTTCCAAATATCTTCCTTTGTGTTCAGCAGAACAAATAAACACATAGAGGTTTGGAACAACATGAGGGTGAGTAAAAACTGACAGAATTTTCATTTTTGGGGGAACTAACCCTTTAAATAAATAGTAATGACATGACTTCAAAGAAACCCATTATGTGTAGTTTGGCAAAATATTTTATTATTAAGTATTAGAAAAAATAAGCAGTATACATAGTATATATATATATATATATATATATATATATACACATATACATATACACACACACGCACACACACACATGCATAACCGGTCAAAAAAAAACAGCAATATTGTGAAATATTAATACGATTTAAATTAATCTACTCAATTCAAGCTGAATTGTCATCAGCAATTACTCCAGTCTTCAGTCACATGATCCTTCAGAAATCATTCTAATGTGCTGATTTATTATCAATGTTGGAAACAATTGTTCTGCTTAATATTTTTGTTTTACCTGTGATAGTTTTTTCAGGATTCTTTGATGAATAAAAAGTTTAAAAAGAACAGCATTTTTTAAAAATAGAAATATTTTGTAACAATAAACACAACTGGATAGTAATTTATTCTTTCTTTTTTTGGAAGAAATTGCTTTAATTCAAAGAAAATGCTTTAATTCAGCAAGGATGTGCTAAATTGATAAAAAGTGAAACATGTTTTCTAACAATATAAATTACTATTTATTACTATTTAGAATAAATGCTGTTATTTTTAACTTGGTATACTTTTTATAAATGTGGTACAAACTGAATCACGTGGTGAGACAAATAATGAAACATGCACGAAAAAAAAAGGAAATAAGACTGACATGACTGTGTGTCAAAGTCAGAAAGTCTATTAATATCTGTTAGCTGAAACCATGATCCTTGGTGATTCATGTAGAGCAAGTCAATGGAAACCATCCTTTGAAAGTAAAAAAAGAAAAGACAGGCAAAACAAAATCAATATCCGTGGCCCCTGACGACATATTGAGGGTCTTTATAGTGCGACATGAAGCTCGCGCTCCAGACTACCATGAACACGCTCGGGACTGTTTGCAGATGTTGTGGATTACAGGCAAGGCAATAATGCTTTAAATAATGCTCAGTTTCTTGCACAGAATGATCATTTGGCTTCTTAAGACCTCAATGTATCGCCAGGAACCATGCATTATGTGAATCACCAAGGATCAGTTTCAGCTAAAAATCTTCTTTATGTTTCTACTGAAGAAAAAAAAAAAAAAGACATTTGAATCTTCGATGTTAATTTAATTAACTGCTAAATACTACATGCACCGTGTATTTACCTTGGTGACGCTGTAGAGCAGGCATCTGTTCTCATCACACAGGAGACTAAGGAGAAGCTTCTCACACTTCTGAACAGAATGGATGACATTACATCAGTGTGACTTTATATCACTGCAGGACAAGAGATGGGAGTTGTGGCATGACACTACGCTAAACAACAATCCTCTCCTAAATATCCTTAAACTGTTTCAAGTGTAACTATGAGTGTAGATCCTTTCAGGCTGGTGGTGTCTCACTCTTTGATCTTGTAGACTCAGACTGGACGTCATCATCTCCTCACTGCCATACACGGTCTCATTTACATCCTCACACAGCAAACACACCCAATCCTCACTGCAAGAGAGAAGATATACACCAAGACTCAAAGAGTGGACAGAGAAAACAGTTATTGTTCTTGAATGCACATTCTTATTAAACTCCAAGGTCTTATAACTCATAGTTACTCAAGAATTGTAATTCAATTCAGTTTTATACAATTCCTGGTCTCACCAAGATTTTGTGAGGATTGGCGGGATGTGACAATCGGAGTGAAAAGCACATCCACATTTCACACACAGAAGAGCAGCTCCCGCAGATTGACACACTGCACAGAATTGTACGTCAGAGGCCGGGGAGCTGTTGCTGCTTTGCAATATAGAGCAGGAAGAGGCTCTAGATGGTATTGGATCTTCATGCCATCTCCACACCTGCTTAATCTGGGGAAGAACAGGGCACAATTGAGAATAGCTGTGGACTGGAACTATCATGGCTGTTGGCTAACATTAGTCACATAAGTAGTCTTTACCTGTCCTCCCTGAGATTCCTGGACTATGATGCGGTCTCTAGAGATATCTGTAGTAAGGTGGAACTCCGGGAGTGGCTGCCCACATGGAAGCACAGAAATGGGCAGACGCACCAGAGATACACGTGGAAACCTATTACAGATAGAAACCAGTGGTGACCGGTCAAAGAAATAAACCAATGTTTCCACTACCAATGTTTCAGCTCAGTAAGAATTTTTTTAAAAGAAATAAATTTTCATTCAGCAAGGACACATTACATTAAAAAAAAAATAAAAGTAAAGACATTTTAAATGTCACAAAAATATATATTTCAAATAAATGCTGTTATTTAAAAAAAAAAAAAAAAAAAAAACTTTTTATTCAAATAAATTTAGTTATTTTGAAAAACTATCCACTTCCTTTTTTTTCTCAAAAATCATGTGTCACTAAAAATTGGAGTAAAGACTGCCAAAAATTCAGATCTGCCATTACAGGAACAAATTACATTTTAAAATATATTAATACAGAAACCATTCATTTAAATTATAATAATATTTCACATATTTAATCAAATAAATAAAAAATGAAATCATGCAGATCCCAAACATTTGATCAGTAGTATAGGTTAATAATTTTTGCGATGCAGACAGGATGCAAATAAACATTTTAGATCCCACTTTGAAGCAGATTTATGCTATATGGACCAATGGCATATGGATTTATATTTCACCTCTTGAATTGTTTCTTGAATTGTTCCAACAGCACTAAAAGACAACAACAAAACAAAACAAAAAAAAAATACAAATGAGCAAGGAAAACAAACAATCACTGTACTTTTGTGAACAAAAGCTAAAGAAAATCACCTGCAGATTCTTTTTCTTCCTCTTTTTCCTTTGTGTGGTCAAAATCCCTTTGGACAGTCTTGTCACATGTCACCCTCTGGTGTGAAAAAGAAACGTTTGAATGAAGCACAGATCTTTAACATTCAATACTATTGTTTGTAAAAGAACAAACATTTTCCAACCTCCAATGCAAGGTCCTCTGATGTGCCACATGGGGTTGAATTCGCTGGAGCTGTGGTGTTCTGATTGTCTATTGAGCTGATAGGTGTGCATGTTTCTACAAGCTGACGAAAAGTTGTTGGCATGCCAACGCTCCAGTGTTTTAGTCTATAGTTGCTCTTTGTGGATGACTGATCGGCTTGAGCTTGTCTTGAATATTTCCCTGTGGTGGTGGTGGAGAGAGAGTCCTGGTGAGGTTTGGGTGGGCCAGAGGAATGGGTAGGATCTGGTGAAGATTCTTTGGGATCTGTCTCTGACATAGTGGAAGTAGGCAAGTTTCTCTCTGAATGATCCGTATAAGTGAAATTCGTGCTGCTCACACCTGCGTCCTGATCACAGACGGAGTCAGCCAAAGCCTTGAGGAGGTTGGCATAATTGAAGGTGTTGCTGCCACTAATGGGAGCAGAACTTATTGGGTTTACAGGAAGTGACGACAAACTAGTTGTGCTTTGGATGGCAGTAAAGGTTGGACTGGTGGTACTCTGTGCACAATGACTTATCCCACAATTGGAGGATTCAGCAGAGTGGACATTAGAGATTGCAGTCACATCATTTAAAGAATGAGGGTTTATGGTAGAAAGAACACCTAAAGGAACATTTGGTTGTGCTGCAAAAGAATGCACCGGTCCCAGGAAACTGGTTTGTATTGGATAGGTCAGTATAAGTGTTTGGGTGTCAGCTGGCAAGTTTGAAACTGGGTGGGTTAGTACAGGTGTTTGGTTGTTGAGTAGTATTGGATGGGTTAGTATGGGTGTTTGGTTGATGGCTGGTATTGGATGAGTTTGTACCCGTGTTTGGCTGTTGGCTGGTATTGGATGAGTTTGTACCGGTGTTTGGCTGTTGGCTGGTATTGGTTGAGTTTGCACCCGTGTTTGGCTGTTGGCTGGTATTGGATCAGTTGGTACCGTTGTTTGGTTGTTGCCTGGTTTTTGATGAGTCAGTAGGGTTGTAAGGATGGGATTTTGGATGTTGACTGGTGCTGGATGAGTTGGTACAGGTGTTTGGTTTTTAACTGGCATTGGGTGGGCGATGGAAGGGTAATAGTGTAAGGTCGAGGTCTTCCTACTCTTGGATAAATTGGAATTATTGTTTATTTGAGACGCGGTATAGTTTGAGACTGGAAGACGAGGCTGAAAATTAGAAGATGGATGAGGATTTGTTTGAGTTTTGTGAGCAGACGGAAGAAAATATGGGACACAATGTGATGAGGGACTGTTTTCATGCATGGACTGCCCAGGATTGAGACCCTGGGACAGGACTTGGACAGACTGTGGTGAGGAAGAAAATGATCTCTGAAGTCCTGAAGAGGGAAGTTTAGATTGATTTAGTTGGGATGCAGAGTGGGCTGTGGCCTGGTTAGACTGAGACGGCTGGCTGGGCTGAGTTGGAGGACCGTTAACAACACATTCACCCTGAACCTGTGCATCAACATTTGATGAGGCCTGTGTAGGATGAACATACATGGCAGTTACTACAGAATTGGGATTTAAGCTTTCCACCTTTGACTGAGTAGAACCAGTTCTCAGAGAGGTTAAAGGAACAGGAATCTTTTTAATCTTCATAAATCCTGGGTAGAAAGAAGGAAAAGATGTTAAATTAATAGATTTTTTTATAAAATGTAAATACTTTTAATTAGTAAAAAAGTGGAAGGTTTTATGTACCAAGTTTTAAGATGTGCTGACAGATATCATTTTGAAGCTGAACATGCAGTTTAATCATGGTCTCAGGGGTGCATGTCTCCTGGGACAGAAGCTTTTTCACCTGGGTCTCAATCTGAGTTAGAGACACACAAAATATAGCAATACACATGGTCATTAAGTGGTCACATCAATCAGATGAATGTACAAATGTAAGTTCCTCACCTCAAAACGTGGAACTTAGTATCCTAAACAATATAAATAAATCTAAGGTGGAAAGTCTTGAACTTAATCAGTATGAAGTTCTAGATATCTTACGATAAGCATAAGGAATAAGCATGAAACAAAACGGCTTACTCTTTTTTTGTGGACTAGGAAGCAATGGCCCTCTGTGCTTAGGATCTTGTCAATAAAAGCTACTATGTAGTCCTGACAGCATTCCAGCCTGTTCAGAGATGTCTTCCTCTCCAATAAACATTTTCCCTCCTCTGCATACAGGGCCTTAAAATTAAACATGCACAAAGTAGTAAGGGTTACAGATTTGAGGTTCCTGAACAGGATTGGGGGCTGATAAGATGCAAGTCGCACTAAAGAAAAGGGACATTGTTCCCATTGTTGGGAAAGTCCGGTTCTTTTTGCTGAGTGCTTTCTGTTAATAAAACAGTATGTGGGTGTTTCCCAGGAAGAGTAAGAACTTTTCTTGGCTTTCTCAGATAAATGTGCTCTTTCAAAAATACAGATACATCAGGTATTATTTTAATACCAACGTAGTCTTTATTGTAGCTCTTTTAGATAGAAAGACTGACATGATGGAAAAGACGGTTAGCGTTTATGATGTGATGGAAATTCTTTGATTGAAAGTATTGAAAGTGAAAGTGCTTTTAAGGAAGATGGCATTGTGGCAATTATGATTCATTTATTAGTTTTGTTTAATTCCTATTTTATATTCTTAAAGCTGCAGTCTGCAATTTTTCCTCTTTGTCGCCACCTCTGTTCGAAATCTGCAATTACAGTCATTTGGAGAATTAACAACTTCAGGCGAGTTGCACCTCAGCATGGCACAGCACGGATGAATCCAACGTTTTAAGGAGAATGTGCAGCTGTCAGTCACTGCACCGGTGTCGATACTGTCATTCATATTCACAGATTCTACTTTTTGGTAGGGCTGGGCAAAAAAAATCGATTTTTCGATTAATCGTTTTTTAAAATGTGTTCGATTCAAAATCGATTCTCAACGGCCACGAATCGATTTTTTCCATATAAAGGGCTCGCGGACGCGGTGCGGCGTCTTCTCGTCTCTCTGCACTAGGCAAGCGCCAAGCGCTGCAGCTGTCGATACACACACGCGTATAGGAGTCGGGACATGACGGAATATTCACTTAACAATCGGGCCAGCATTGCATCGTAACCTATGATCGTAACTAACGTTTATCATTTTCACGTCTTTTTGAGTTTTACAAGCAATGTTAAACCATCCCGTGCTCGCGCACTCTCAGAGATGTCTTTCACTGCGTGCACAGTAACGTTACAGCCTAAATCTGCCTCACAAACAGCTCGCCAGAAACAAAAGTTTTATCCCTGGATTATATCACTTTAACAGTTAAAACACGCGACATTATGTCAAAACTCTGGTCTTGGTGAGTAACCTCCTGAAGACAGTCGGTAATGTCTTAAATTAGCATTAAACGTGTGTGACAGAAAGTTAATGAAACATTAATGGATTCGCGCACTAGTTCTTAAAGTGAACGCAGCCATTTGTGTCAGTCATTAATTCTGTTGTCATAACAACAGAATGTAGTATTAATTGTAAGCAATCAGAATTAATAGCCTTTGTATTTCATTCATTCTGGACTAAAAAGACTATCCAGTGTTATTTTACATTGGATTACTTTATTCAGTTTCTGTAGTATTTCTGACATACCCAAAAAACTACCCCAAAATGTCTCTTAATTTGTGTCTTTATTCTATTGTATTTATTTGTGCTACTTTTTTCAATTTAATTCAAAGATTGAAATCAAGCTACCATACATAAACTCTTAAAATAAAAATAAACAAAAAATTACATTACCATTTAGGTAAGATCAATGTAAAAAAAAAAAGTCTAAATATTTATATATTTATTTATCTATATCTATCTTAAACATAAAATAACATGATACTGTTTGATCAAGCGGTGCGACTGTTTTTGCATATTGCATCAAAATCCTGTTTATTCTCTGTATGCATTTAGTGTACCTAAAATAAAAAGAGTTTTATATACAGGTTTATGGCTCTTAATTTCCTTGTATTAATTAACCACTAGTAAACTTATGTCCACTGTTCTTTTTTATAAATATAGGATTTGTATTACATCTTCATTATAGTCGAATCGAGAATCAAATCAGGAATCGAAAATTGAATCGAAATCGAATCGAACTGAGAGCTTGTGAATCGAAATCGAATCGAAATTGAAATGTGAATCGATACCCAGCCCTACTTTTTGGAAGCATGACCAACAAAGAACGTTCACCCGAAAATGTAATCTGGACAAGTAAGAAACATACACTTTTGTTCTTCTCAACAACTAATGTTGAATGAAAAAAAAAACATTGCAAAGTCCTTCAGATATTTAGAGGTTCAAGCACAAAGTGCTGAAACCCTATTGTAATTGTAAGGATTTGTAAAACTGATCGTGCAGACCAAATCGTAAATGCTAGAGACTTGAAACCAGGCCAGATGGTGGGCCTCAATTTGGGGAGAACCTATCAGAGTATGACCCTGATTGGCCCATAGGTGGCGCTACAGCAACCAAAAGTACTAAATTGCTCATAACTCCTAGATCGTCAAAACTCCTAGAATCAAGGCTTTTACTCCACTGTGATCCTTGGCTCAAGACGGGCAAAATATAGATCTCCAATTTCGATTTAGGCAGCAAAAATGTTCTGCTATGTCGAATTTTGTCCAAAACCTACTTTTACAAACTAGTTCCTGTTTTTTCGGTCGATCGGAAGCAGTCCAGTCTAGGGCAATTCTCTGGGCTCTCTAGATCAATGAGTCATTTAGAAAAGGGGAGTGACAAAATACACTCAATGAATCCTATAGGAAAACTCAGAACTTCACAAACATTGATAAGCATATGTGTCATAACATGCTGAAGATGCATGCAAAGTTTCATGGAGATCGGACCATAGGTGGCACTGTAACTGTTAAAAAGCTTTCATAACCATGTCTATTGATGCTTTCTGGATCCGCCATAAAATGAATAGGTTTAATTATATCAAGTGCTGTGAGAAAAGGCTATAAATCTCCACCTCCAACATCCTCACAAACATAGCTTAAGCCAAGACTCCTTTATGTGTACAGATATGGTGTAATGATGCAAAACATGCTTGAATTTACCGCGGAAATCCACCAGTACCACTGGAATAAAAAACATTATTACAAGCGTAACATTTTGAATCGAGCTACGGCAAGCAGAACGATTTGAACACTGGCTGGTTATGTACTTGCTCAAATTTATTTTAGATCATTTTTATCCCAAAAAAAGTTACGGACTGGAGCTTTAACAGTTGAAATGTGAAATGCTGAAATGTACTGTGCAAGTTAAAAGCGCATCTAAAAACAGCCATAGAAGAAACAAATGAGTGCTGTAACTAAATCTGTCTCGATTAAATAGTCTAGTCTTTTGGAAATGCATAACAATGGGAAAATATCTACCTAGTGTAATCAATCAAATTGGACAAAACCATGTAGTTCATGTTTATTTTTTATATAGGCTATATTTCGCAAAATAGAAATAAGTGCATATTTTGTTTGATGAATGGGCTTTGATGAAATTAAAAAACTGATTGATTCTAAACAAATTAATAATCTGAATAGATGGCCACTGGCCAGTAGATACGTCCTACAGCTACATGCTGTAGTAGTTGATATAGAAAAGAAATTTTGAAATAAGTGAAGTATGCCAAATATTCATCATTTACCTTTTTAGGGAAAATTTTAAATAATGAACGGCATGTTTTGGGCAATTTGCGTAATAAATTCTTACCTCTATCTCCTTTAAGACCTGCGTAGCTTTCACTACCAGAGCCTGATAAATAGAGTGGACCACTTGTCTCAACATCTTCTTTGCAGCAACTTTTAGATCCTCAATGTCCTGTAATCTAATAAAGAATAAAATATTCACAATTATACACAGACAAGAAGATAATAAAACAGGAAATGTCTGTAAAGCAGACCAATTATAATACAACTTTGGATGCGAGCACATGTGCTACAAACTAATTGCTATTGTCCTGCAGTAGTCAGGGAGCTGACAAAGTCGAAAAAGAGTGTTGTGTGATCTCTTTCACATCCATACTCATTACATTTAACATTGCACTGTGTTTCTTTACTCTCTCTTCAAGGCTTGAATTCCTTTAGAGGAGATAAGAGTTCTGTGTTTTCTGTCTGGATTAGCCAGTTTGCATAGATGCAGTTTTAGCCAGGCTCTTTGACATTGGCAGAGCAGAGGTTTTTCTTTACTTTATAGATTTGTAAATAAAGGTAAATAAACTTTACTTGCATTTTACCACTTTGGGCAGTTAGAGTTTTCCAAAAAAAAAAAAAAAAGTCTTTAATTTATGATAGGCAGGCACAGACTTTTTTAGCTTCAGACTCGGAATCAATCCAGTTGGTAGATATAAAAATTTTTATATTTTGAGCCGGTTTTAGAATGCATGCTTTTTTAATTAGTCATGCATCTCCTAGAAATAAGGAGCATGTTTCTGCAAGGGTTTGTTTTGTTCGGCAACAGATACCGACAGACATACTCGTGGGTTTTGATGGATCAGTGGGTTACCCCATCAGTGTCTGTTTCCATTGATTGTTTTCGCCGAACATGTTGAATCAGTGTGAGTCGGGATGTGGAATGTCTAAGAATGAACATACTGTAATCGTCGGTCGGTGCAGTGTGAATTGGATTTTAGTTGTTAAGTGTATGATGCCCCGCTTTTTATATAACCATTTACAAAGTCTGCAAGTGTGTGATGCATGTAGTGTGGTACTCCAGCCTTTAATGTGATAGTTCATCCTAAAATGAAAATTCTGTCAGTATGTCATTTAAAAACTGTATACCATTATCATTTTTGGGGGAGCAATCCTTTTAAGAAATATGATTGAGACAAGATGTGACAATTGAATAAGACAAAGTAAGTCCAGTTTGTTCATGACAGACTGTTCCTTCAATTAGTGTAGTGTTGACAGATTTCGATAAAAAGAATAATGTTTTTCCGTTATAAGATGTCAGCTCGCATGGCCCTTTTCACTTGCCTTGCCTCTAGGAGTAGCAGGCTGCTGCTGACTCTCACTTTCTGATGTCTGATGGAGTCCAACAAACTCTGCATTAGCTGTCTTTGAGATCCCACAGCTTCCTCCTGCTGCACAAAACTGACATATAGATGGACATGTAAAAACATGGAACAGAGATGAGATAATTTATATATATATATATATATATATATATATATATATATATATATATAAGAATCAATTACCCTAAAAACATCCATATGATCTTTTAATCTTCACATGCACTGATCTGAGAGGGTTGATTTGAATTATACCTGTGGCCTTTATGAGTGATCAGCTGACAGTCTTTACAGGTGAGCTCTTCACAAACAAGACAGAAGAACCTCAAGCTCTCCTGAGTGTGTGAGGGACAGCGTCTTCTCTGTACCCAACCTGAACAAAAGAAACAACAGAACAGATCTGAAAATGCACAGAAGTTTATAGCAGTGTTCGTGTTGGTCTGAACATACAGATTATATAGAAAGCAATATGGGAAAAGGTATAGCTGTGGCCAGGAAATTTTTAATATTGTAAGTTTCTTGCTGTGTGTATTTTGGACCGGGTGTGTGCCCAAATAAATAAACATTATATATTATATTATATTTAGTTTTAAAAGATGTAGTCCAATTACTGGTTTTCTTGAGTCACTGTCAGTTATCTTGAGTACTGCCCAATGATATGGCTAGAGCTTCATTATCCATTTCAGGACAATGTTATGTTGCATTGAAAATAATCATGTCTATTAGTGAAGGATAAACTACAATTACGACTACTGGTATATTTTTATACAGTAATCAATTATCACACACCTGGTTTCTTCTCTGAAAAACTTGTGGGTTTTAGACATGACTATGGAATGTGACAAGTGAGTAAGGCTCAACTCTTTTTAGCTTGTCCACACACAAATTTCATGTAAACGTATGTAGAAGACAATGTAAAGATATGCTTACAAATATAATGTGTATTGTACGTTTGATGTGCTGCTACTAAGATGTATAGTATGATTCGATTAGTGTAATTATTTGTTGGTTATATTTTATCTGTGTGTTTTTGTCTTGTCTTGTGTAGACCCCAGGTATATTAACAACCACTATGTGAAGGCTAATAGGGATCTGAATTAAGAATAATAAATAAAGCATGCAAAGAAAGCAAATCTAACCTGTGGGTGGTTTTTTGGGTGTGACTTCATGGTCACGGGTCACTTTTACCCTACGATGGGCAGACATACAGTCCAAACACAGGGCCTCCTCACACTGGACACACCATCCACTAACCTCACTCTCTTCGCAACCGGCACACTGCAAAGATTGATTCAAATTTTGAATAAAGGTTTACAATGGAAGACAGACAGGAAATGTGTCCCTTCAAATTAAGGCCCTTCACAACAAGAATATTCTCAATAAACTTGTAATATTTGTTGTATTACTAAGAGAATAGGAAAGTCCACATCACACACATATAACGATAATGACACAGAGGAAAGATATTATTGGAATCAATTTCAGAATGATTTTTTTATCGTAATGTTACCTAATCCATGCACTCTTACCTTGGGGTCCTTGTTATTATTAGATGCATCTTCAAAAAGGGAACATTGTGTGACCTCAGACAAACTAAAGGCCTGAGCACATAATGGACAATCTAGACAGAGAAAGAAACAAAAGTCTCAGAAACACTAAACCCATGTTACTGCTGTTTAGCAAGTCACGACAATACCACAAAAAGATTATTTATTAGACTAGATTAGACTACAATTAATGAAATGAAATCCAAATGAAATGACTTTGCAAGTAATATTCCACGTGTAGTGACACTATATCATGACAATAAAGAAAGTATATATATATATATATATATATATATATTACAAATAACGTACAAATAAAGTCAAAGTCACTACTATATTTAATTTAAAAGAAATATAATGTAAATTGAAATTCAGTAAACACAGCTTTGTGTCATGTGATGTCATAACGAGAAAATATATTGGATTTGTAGGGCTAATTGAAACGAAAAAAGTATTTGTTCTGAGCAAAGAAAACCTATTCATTCATTAGAAATAGAATATAATAATTTTTTGCGAATGTCAAACTAATGTCCAAATAATCAAACATAACAGCAGTGCCCTCGCGGTGTAACGTGTCTCGTCTAAACTTCCTGTATTGGAAATGTGTCAGTGACGAAGCAAGCGTTTTCAGGAGATAAGATCATTATAATTATTGTGTTCATAAAATGTAAAAACAATTTAAAAAAAAAAACAATACACTGTTATTAAAAACAGATGATGTGAAATGTTTGTTTAGGCTAGCCTGTAACGTTAGTTCAACACGACTTTTAAAAAGTCACATGCAGAGTTGGACCATCGCGAGCGCCCCAATAAACTTAGTCAGCAAACACTGACCGCTAATTTACAAGCTAGTTCTTACCTTGTGCGGCTCCATTTGCGCAGATCTTCGTAAGGCAAGTATTACAAACTGTATGCAGGCAGGGCAGAAGTCTGGAGTCTGCTGAAGAATTTAGGTGCAGTTTGCAAACAGCGCAGGATCCACAAACCGTTTTTTCTACATCCAGAAGGGGCGACGCTAGACGCCCTGTTTGGTCAGTGGTAAACATCTGTTGCTTGAGAATTATTAATGTAAAAAAAACCGTGTAACACCATTCGAAATATATCGCCTTACGGGAAACTCGATACGTTGACCCTATTATAGTGTAAGTAACGTTACATCTGTGCAGTTCCTAACACTCTTGTGCTGATGGAATATTCATTAGTTCCCCTAGTGGGCGTAATCTCATTTTAACAAAACAAAAGTCTCATTTCGAAGGAGGTGTCTTCCGCAGGTCGCACGCGTCTTAATCCGTTTTATTTCAGTAGTAGTGAAGCATAAATTGTTGTAATTTCTTAATGATTGCGGAATGTATTGTAAGTAGAAGCAGCAGGAGGACGCAGCCTTCGAAATGAGACATGTCAGTGTGTTTTCAATTTGTATATGTAAGTAAGTAAATAAAATAAAAAAACACCTTTTAATGCACTTTACCCGTCAGCGTGGCAGTTAACATTTTCATGGCGTTATGAAATTAAACGTAGCCTAACGTTACTTTTTTACAGTCTATGAGTTGTAACCTGCCAGTTTATTGATAGTGTATCATGGCACATACATGAAAAGGTTACTTTAAAGGTTTGTCTTGAACGAAACAACAATATTTTTGCTATACAATGGCTATTCTATTCCAACTAACCCCATATGTTACCAAATCAATAAAATTAGGATCTGAGTAGCTGGCACAAACATTGTCAGCTCCACGGCTTTTAATTTGTCAGAAGAACACACCCACAAAGACTGATTATCACTGAATATTCCAGCAGGCTCCACCCAGTGCAACAGAATACCTTAGGAATCTTATACATTTTGTAACCTTTTAGCACACAGAGTGGAACTTAGTTGATATATGTGCTGGGAGGAGTGGATTTCCATGGAATGTTTCAGGGGACGATTGCAGGGACTACTATGCCAGACTTTGTTTCTTAAATACATGTGTATTATAGAGAAGATATGGAAAGGTGACAAAAATTAAGCCCATTTTTAAGATTTACAATTGTATAGTAAATTCCTTCAAATTGAATTGAATAATCCTTGCATATTAATATTATGAATTAAGAATTTTAAATTACATTTAAAAAAAACTAAAGCTTTATAAAACATTTTGTATAATTCTTAATGAAACAATGGGATGGACTATTTCAGTTTCTGTAATTCGAATTCATGAACTTATTTATTATTAAATATGTTTAAATTTATGAATACAAAGGAATACTTCCCCCGAAGAGCAATTAACACCCCGATTTCAGCTTTCACCTTGCTTCTAGTTACTGTTGTAACAAAAGTTAGGATTTACACCTCAAAGGAATGAAGAGTTTCAATCAAAATTCACTTTGAAATCGACACATACCATTTTCTATAGCTACAGTCCATTCTAATACTATGCCCTCAATATATAATCACTTACAATCATGTATCCACTTTTTCTATGCAAATGTTCCTCTACAGTATTTTGACTATTAATCTAAACTCTTTGAATGAATAGCCTTACCATGTTTGGTATGACTTTCTGTTTTAGTGACCAGAGTGATCATTTACATTATATGTTGATACCCTATGCAACATATTAGTATTATACAATCTTTAATAGTATCTCCATTGACACCCAATCAAATGACTTATGCAGCACCCTGCTTGAAGACAAAGGATTATAAAGTTTTCTTGTTGAAGTTTCTCACCCCCTGAGGCTGTGACATCTTCACACTTTGAAAAATCACTGCTTACAAAATTACAGCTGATTCTGAGAAATTCTGATGTGAAGATGATGCTAAGCAAAAAGTCTTAAAAGGACCTCTAAATTTGTGCCAGGCTGCGGCCTTGTCTTTCCATTCATCAAAGATTATATTGTAATCACAACTTTGTCTCTGCCTAAATGGATACATGATATTAGCTGCATGATTTGTAGTATCTTAGAACTGTACATTTTTGACATATGGACATTACTTTGACACAGTCACCTGCAGTATGATAGCAGATCACTAAATTGTAATGTAAAAACATTGATTTTTCTGTAAAGTTGCTTTGAAACAAAATGCATAAACGAAAAACACTGTACAATAAATTTGAATTGAATTTATAAAATTCAAAACAAAAGTGAAAGCAGAACTGTTTTTCATACCTGCATTATTTTAAGGAACTAATCATCAATTGTCTCTCAGTTCTCATTCTATATCATGCTGTAAGCAGTGCAGTGCACCATGGTTTCTCCCAATGTTTTCTCTCTATTCTGTCACATGATGGAGTTTTGGTTCCTTGTCACTGTTGCCTTTTTCACCTTAGTTGCCATTGGCTTTTGGCTTGCTTAGTTGGAGACATTAAATTTAACATTTTATTTAATATTCAACTATAATATTGATCTGCCAGCACTGACACTATTATATGAGAACTAAACTGAGCTGGACGATGACATCACGGTTTTCTCCAGAGCGGCTAAATATGAATTAAGTAATTGAACTTACTTAAGCTGGACCGTGACGCTATTTTCTTCTGGAAACAAACTTTGTTGCATTATTTTCCTGTTATCTCTGTAAAGCTGATTTGAAACAGTCTGTATCGTAAAGAGTGCTATACACTCACGGATCATTAGGAACACCGTACTAATACTGTGTTTGACCCCCTTTCGCCTTCAGAACTGCCTTAATTCTAAGTGGCATTGATTCAACAAGGTGCTAAAAGCATCCTTTAAAAATGTTGTCCCATATTGATAGGATAGCATTTTGCAGTTGATGAAGATTTGTGGGATGCACATCCAGGACACGAAGCTCTCATTCCACCACATCCCAAAGATGCTCTATTGGGTTGAAATCTGGTGATTGTTAGGGCCATTTTAGTACAGTGAACTCATTGTGATTGTAGGGTATCAGACTCTGTCAGTTGGGACTCATTCAAATCCACAATTGAAAAGCTTTTAACCTTTGATTTCCATGCTAGTAATTCACCAGCGAGCGTCATAGAGTCTGTTCCTAATGGCGTTCATTGACACTTTCATAGCAAACTGAGTTAAAACAAAGCCTTCCCCCTTTCCGACAAGAACCGAACTTTGTGTAAACCACTCACATACATGGACTCTCTATGGAACTTCCCACACAAATCAAGTCAGCGTTAACAGAGCTCAGTGTTCAGTTACAAGACTGATACATTTTACGACCCCATTGGAATTTCCAAACGGATTATCAGATCACACATTAATTCCATAGGGACTATCCTCAGTGTTGATAAAGACCTAATTGATATATTAATATTTAATTATAATTCTTATGATTGATTATTGATATTACGATTGATCTATTTTTTTACTGATCATAATTCGTTGTGTTCGGCTGTCCAAACAGGCAGTTGGTAACTTTTCCCTTTACGGTATTTTATAATTTGTAGGTGATTTCCTGATCATGTTTCATGATGAGTTATTAAAATTATATTCCTGGTATCTGACCTAATGGGAACATCCCTGGTTCCCTACATCATGTTCAAGAAACAAATTTGAAATGATTCGAGCCGACATGGTGCATTATTCTGCTGGAAGTAGCCATCAGGATGCGTACATGATGGCCATAAAGGGATGGACATGGTCAGGAACAATGCTCAGGTAGCCCGTGGCAAGTTTGTTGAGTCCTTCCTGGTCCCCTGCTGTCTGGAAGAGAATAGAGGATGTGGGAAACTTATCAAATGTAATCATTATTATTGTGTATTTAGGTGACACAATGCTTTCACGAGTCTGAATAAATATATACTGGCTTTACAATGAATATAAATGTCTCACCTTAAAGTTTTACGTATAATGAGTCAATACAGTGAATATTTGAAAAATAAATAAAAAAATAAACCTTGAAATTTTTGGGGCCTAATCTAAATTTCATTCAGTATTCTGTCAACGTACTTCTTGGCTCATATTTATTTTCAGTCTTATTTTGGTCTGTCCTATGACAAAATAGTATCACATAGGTGTTGTAACTTATGCAAATGTGGCTTTTGGTTATGTAAAATGGATGATATAACTTATTTTGAGAGACTGATATGAAGTGAAGTGGTGTGATGATTGCATTGTGGATACAGACATACCTTCGCCATGGTGGGGAGCTCTTTGGAGAGCATGCTCTGGAACTCCTGGGCTGTGAGCGTGTTGGCATTAGTTGATGATGCTGAGTGGAAGTTTTCCACCAGGGTGTTTATGGCCGATTCTAGATCTGTGTGCTGCTACAGAGAGAGAGAGAGCAGTTTCAGACTCAAGTAGAGCTAAAACTAATGTCTCCAGAGCCATAAAGGAGTAAAACGGTTTCACAGAAAGGGCAGATTAAGCCAGGATAAAGCCTTAGTTCAATCAGGCTTTTTATAAACCTCTCTTAGAAAAAAACATTACAGGTGTGCATCTAAAGCCAAAACAAAGGCTCTGACATATTATAAGGTCTGTCAGTGCAAGTTGCTTTCAGTTAAAACAGCTCAAACTGCCATTTTAGTCTGGGACCGGGGGGAAATGGTTGCATTGTAATCATATCGTGTTTTTACCATCATGTTTCCACGATAGCACATAGCATACATCTGCAAGATGTCTATTAAAGACTGCTTCATATGGAAAGCATCAGCTGTTTACTAACATCTAACATGACTTTATAAATCATAAACATTTTGAATGTCTATTTGATATTGGCTGGAAATGTCCTATAGACGTATAACAGATAAGCAAACATCAAATAGACGTCTCTGTGATGTAGGTGTGCTATCAGGGCAATAATATTCACTACTCACAATCATTTGTGCAACTTGATTTTATGATGTATCCACTGATCTATATAGAATGACATGAATGTCATTATATAGATCAGTGGATGTATCAGGGTTTTTTTTCATCAGTTATGTTATGTTGCCTGTAACTAAAGATTCGAAATTCTCTAATAAATGCCTCATATATGATTGATGTATCTCAAACCAGACTGGTAAAATTGAAATATTTATGGACGCCAAACTTGAATAGACGATTGTTGCATATTGTAAAAAGGCTTATGATGGAAAGTCAAATTAAATGTGCTAATTGTGAAATGTCAAATATGCAGAAGAAACTTGCTTTATTAGAAACATGCAGGTTTGCTCTGATAACTGAAGTGTTACTTTTTCCTTTGTTCTTTTTGCATAGGCTAAGCAGATGTTGAAACCACATCTGCTTCTGTGACC